TTTACCTTCTTTAGGTTTTTGCCCTTGTATAAAAGGGCAGTCAGTCTGTTAGGGTTGATAGAGAGATCAGAGGTGGAAATTTGTTGTGTTTTTGAGACAGGGCCTTGCTCTGTAGCCCAGGATGGCTTTGAATTCCAGATCCTCCAGCCTTAACCTCCTGAGTGCTGGGATTATAGAGATGTACACCAAGCCCAGCTAGGGAGCTATTTTTGACTGATTTAACTCCAACACATCACCTGGGATATTGTTAGAAATGTACATTCTTAGTCCCATCCTTGATCTTCGGATTTTGAATTTCTGGGGGTGGCACATAGGAAACTGTGTCCTCACAGGGTCCCCATTTGAGTCATAGAATTTTAAAATTTGAGTAGCGTCAGTAGACTGACTTGTGGCTTTTCCACAAAAAATATTTGCTATTTCCTTCTGGCTAAATTGCACATCTTAGATATCAGATACGTGCATGTCTGTCTCCCTTGGTTCAGGTTTCTGTTCAAATACAAGAGAAGCCTTCTGTGACAAAATCTTACTTTGTCACAGTCCCTCCTGTATCCTCTTACCTTTTTGTATGCCTTGTTATGTTTGTTTTGGTTTTGCAACATTGGGGAACAGACCCAGGCCCTTGAACATGCTAAGCAACTTATCTACCACTGAGCCACACTGCTGGACTTGGCTTTTTAGATAGGGTCTCATGGGTAGCCCAGGCTATACTCAAACTTGTGACCCGCCTGCCTCAGCCAACTTTGAAGTACAGAAAACATCTTCTAAGATGGTATTTTTAGAAAATCCAGCTGGGTGTGGTGGTACACAACTATAATTTAGTCACTCAGGATGCAGAGGTAGGAAGAGTGTAAATTCCGGGGCCAGCCTGGGGAAAGGTATCAAGACCCTTAAAGAAAAAATGAAAAGGGCTCTGGATGTGGTTCAAACAGTAGAGCACCTGCTAGCACGTATGAGGTGCTGAGTTCAGTCCCCAGTACTGCAAAAAAAAAAAAAATCAAATCAATCAAATCAAAATCCAGAGATGTTTTTCTTTCCAAAGATAACTTTGACCTTGCTCAATGGCAGCAAATGTTGTGAAGACCCACAGGAAAAATTTGGATTTAAAACACTTGCTCTCCCACCTGGGGTCAGTGTCAGAATTCTACAACTCAAAGAAACTTGGACCACCTAGTGTAGCACTGTCTGTCAAGTGGTTGGCTCAGTTGCTCTTCTGGTCAGTTCTCAGCAATTACTTTCTTTGTTACAGGCACTGTTCATAGGTGCTTGGGATATAAGACTGAATATTTAATTTCAAGAAAAGTGGTTGATTTACTAATTCCCTTTCCCCAAGAGGGGATGGAAGGCCCTCCTTACCAGACTCACCAAGCAGAGATTGCTGACGCGAACACAGAACAAAGCGGCTCACAAATTCTGAAAGGGATTTCTTCCAAGATTGGAAAGAAAGTTGTAGTAGGTTTCTTATATCTGAAATAAGAGAGCTTACTACTAAGTGATAAATAATACATTAAAGGTAATATCTTTTTGTACAAAATAAGGGGTTCAACTATGATATTTTTGTGCATGTACACAATGTACTTTGATCATATTTACTCACCCATGACTGTCTGTGGTCCCCCTGGCATTGGTCCCCAACTCCCCCCATAGCAAATAGTCTCCTCTGTATGTTCATAGCTGATTGTTTACTTTTAGATCTAGATTGCACATGATATATTTTTTCTGAAAATGGCTTATTTTGCTTAACAATGATTTCCAATTCATCTCCTTCCCTGCAAGTGACATAATTTCCCCCCTTCTCTATGGCTGCTTAATACTCCAATGTATAATACTGATCTCTTAAGCTGGGTATTTTCCTGTCAATTTCCGCCCTCAGAATCAGTTATACCCTGAGAGCTCTAAGGCCACCGTGTGGTGGGTGACTTGTTGACTGTGCAGAGGCCCTCAGCTGAAGGTTTCAGTGGAATCTGAATTCAGCCCACACTCTGCTCGTCAACACTGTGCACCCTGAGCCTTCGTCAGTTTTGGCTACAGTAATATAAGAACGTGGACTTAGAAGCTTACACAGCATGCATTTACCTCTTGTAGTTGGAGAGGCTGGGAAATACCAGCTCAAGACATCAGCAAACCTAGTGTCTGGTGAGGTCCTTCTGGTTTGCAGACACATCTTCTTATGTCTTCATCCCGGGGACAGGTGACTAGCTCACTTTCTCTTTTCATAAGGAACTGAGCTCATTGTGGGGGTCCCACCCTCATGACTAGATTATCTCCAGAGGCCTATTCTATCACGCTAGGGCTTTAACCTACGCATTTTGATACAACATGAACGCTCAGCTCACAGCGTCAGGAAAACGTCTGTTGCACATAAAGCAGCCATATGAGTATGTGAGCGCCTTACACTCAATGTTTAAGCCGCTAGACACTTCCAGGTGCCAGTGAGTGTGATACCATTATTATCCCCAGTTGTAACTTACACACAGAGTACTAACGAGCTTGAGACTCCAGTATTCAGAGAGCTGTGGGCGGGCACGGAGCCTCTCCCGCCCACGACTCAGTTCTCTGCTGCCTCAAGCAGGTCCTTTGTCTTCAGAGTCCCCGCTCCGTGCCTGGGTCACTCTCACCTCCCCAGCTCGCAGGCTCTCATCTCTTCCTCTGAGACCTTAGACTCCCACCTGCTTATTAGAACCAGTGGAGACAGCGTTTCCAATACTGGCTCTGGTGTGGAGCTGGGTTCAGGGGCCACACCTCCTCTGGATCTCACTTGTGAAATGGGTGCAGCAGTTGTCCTCTTCATCTGGTGAGAACTTCCTGAAATGCTAGGGACTTTGCCAGGGTACGGCACAAATTTGTTCATTTATTCTCCACAGTAATCCTGTGACTTGCATTCTATCTCTCTCCTTTTCTAGCTCAGGATGGACACGGAGGTTCAGGTGGTTGGCTCAGGGTCACACAATTGGCGTAACAGTGGCTTCTTCACAGGTGTGCGTGAGGCACTGTAGTGAAATGCTGTGTACCAAGTGCTTCACAGGGCCCCTGGCGTGAACTTACTGTTTGTTTAAAGTCAACAGTGCCATTTTTGTTGCGTTATATTATTTTGAGACAGGGCATCTTGTTATATAGCCCAAGCTGGCCTAAAACTTGTAATCCTCCTCTCTCAGTCTCCTAAGTGCTGGGATTACAGGTGTTCACCACTGCTCCACTTCTACTATTTTTATTATTGTGATGATTACTATAGCTTGTTAATTTCAAGAATATATTATCAAATTTATAGTTAAATAAATCCTATAGAGACAAATGTATCTCCATAACAAATTCTTTTTTTTTTTGTGGTATGGAGGTTTGAACTCAAAGCCTATGCTTGCTAGGCAGGTGCTCTACCATTTGAACCACGCCCCAGCCCCCCACCTTTTCTTTGCATTTACTTATTTTTTAGATAGGGTCTCCTGCTTTTTCCTGGGACCCGCCTTGGATTGCAGACCTCCTACCTATGCCTCCCATGTACTTGTATTTGGTCTTACAGGCTCACAGCACCATACCTGGCTTTTTGGTTGGGTGGATCTTGTTTGTGGGCTGACCTCAAACCACAGTCTTCCAGTTCTGCATCTCTCAAGAAGCTTGAACTACAGGTGTGAGCCACTATCTTTGGTCTCAATAAAGTTTATTTAAGTCTCTGTTGTTAACAAAGTAAAATTTGCAAGATCTTGTATCTTTTAAAACATACAATTCATGTAGTCAGATTCCTAGGGACGGAGTAGTTACCAGGAGCTGGGGGGTGGGAATTATGTTTAGTGGTCCATAGCTTTGGTTCGGGATGATGCAAAGGTCCTGTGGATGAGGAGTGGCGATGGCTGCACAGTGATGTAAACGAACTTAGTGAGCTGTACACTTCAAAATGGTTTGGACAGTGAGTTCTGTGTTACGTATTTTGCTACCATAAGACCCCAGTCCTCTGTATATACTCTTAATTAATAGCCTCAAATTAAGTATGACAAATTATAAGAGAACAGCAGACATTTCAGAAGTTAATAATGACTTTCATAAACAGAGCGACAGTCTCTGAAGGCTCCATTAATAGAAACTGTTTATGAGGACAGGTTTTGTGTTACCGACTACTACCTGTTTTTTAGCAGTTAAGGAATAAGGTACCCTAGAAATGTTCTTTGCCCTTTCTTCCTACTCATGTGATTCTTAAAACTATCCTATGAGATTGCTAACTCTCTCATTGTTAAATCTCTGCATTTAATAGATGAGAGAATTGAGGCATGGCAGTCAGGAGGCTGAGGCAGGAGGATTGAGAGTTTGAGGCTAGCCTGAGCTACGTAGTGAGACCCTGTCTCAAAAACCAAAAGAAGGGACCATTGTGGTGGCTCATGCCTGTAATCTAAGCTACTCAGGAGGCAGAGATTGGGAGGATCATGGTTGGAGAGCAGCCTGGACAAAAAGTTAACAAGTCATTAAGTTGGGCATGATAGCATGTACCTGTGGTCCCAGACATGCAGAAGGCATAGGTAGGAGGATTCTGATCCTATCTGAACAATAAGCTAAAGCAAAAAAGGACTGTGGGTGTAGCTCTAGTGGTAGAGCGCCTGCCTAGCAAATGCAAGGACCTGAGTTCAAACCCCAGTGCCACCAATACCAACCAACCACCCAAACAAACAAACAAACTGTAGCATGGAGACATTAATAATTTGTCCAGAACTTCACAGTTTATATATAACAGTGCGTGAGCCATTGAGAGATCATTCCTCTTAACCCGGGTAGTTTACTTTCCCTGCAATCAGAATCACCCTCTGAGACCCATAGGAGGACACGGGTCAGGGGCGCACTGTGAGCAATGGGGCTCAGAGCCAGGACTTCAACGGAAGGGGCGAGTGCTGTCTGAAATTCAGCTGCCTGAGGAGGGGACACTGGCTGTTTCACATAAAACAGCCATTTGGGTTAGTAGTGTCATTGACCAGACGCTCATGGCTTTTTTCTCTCTCCCATTATGACTTCCTAAGACTCAGCTGTCCCCAGAAGGAAGACAAAATGACCAAGTTCAAGGTGAGTTGGGCTTAATGTCCTAGATTTTAAATTGTCATCTCATCTCTCAAAGATCCCACATGTGTTGATTCTTTTCCGAGGCAGAAGTAAGGGAAACAGGTGGTCGGGGCCTCTGCATGCCAGATGCTTCTTGCCTTTTTCTTTAGTGCAGCATAATTTTTGTTGCTTCATCACTTTATAACTGGATGAATAAACATGGAATAGAAAAGCAGTAACAAGCAAACAAAAGAAAATAACAAAAGAAAAGCCAGTAACAGTGAGTAAGAATCTCCCCCTTTCTACTATTTGTCTTATAAAAGCACTCTAATTTTCCTGTGTACTTTTTCTCATATGAATCCTAATAGTGTATTTGTAATCAACTGTGTGTATAAAATGGCCAAATGATACCTTCTCTGAGGAATTCATATTCCCCAGGCCCTTATATATTCCTTATATTTTCTTATATACCCTTCTTTCTTCCCTGTTCTTTTTGGTGCTGGAGATCAAACCTTTGACCTAGCCCATGCTAGGCAAGTGCTCTGCCACTGAGCTACACCTCCAGCCCTTGGTTTGTTGAGACAGGCTCTTACCGTGTAACTCAGGCTAGACTCGGACTCACTGTCCTGCCTCCACCTCCCGAGTACTGGGATTACAGGAATGTCCCACTACACCTTGTTTAAACCCTACATAGTCAATGGCCATACCATATTCCCTTAAATTGAAGTGCTCTGTGGTGGGGGTGTGAGCGAGAACTTTTCCCTATTGTGGACATTTAGGTAGTTTATAACTTTTTGATGTGTTAAGGAACATTGAAGTAAAGTTTCCTCTTATTTTCTCCACAAAGGAATTTGAAGGAGTTTTTTTGTTATTTGTTCCTAATGTTTAGGAGTCATAAGTTGAAAAATGTATTCTTGATGTGTGGTAGTTTGGATATTTGTATGTAACATATACAAATACAGCCTGATCAGAGAAAATTTCATTAGATATTTCATAGAAGAAAGCTCCATTTTTGTCACGAGCCATATTCTAGGTGTGTTTCCTTACTGATCTATAGTTACTTGGAAGTCTGGTCTGGTATTGCAGCTGACTTGCCAAGTGCTTTGGTTATGGTTATCAGGCTTTAGACCAACCTCGTGAGACAGCACTTGATTTCATGTGCATTACAATCGGGATAATAGAATTTCAGAAATGTGCTTAAGCTCTCACAGTAGACCAAAGATCCAACTGATTCAGAGGACTCCTATGAGCTAAGCATGGTGGTTCACACATGTAATCCCAGCTACTCAGGAAGAATGCAGTTGGAGGCCAGCCTGGGCAAAAGTAAGTGTGAGACTCCATCTATAAAGCAAAAAAAAAAAAAGAAGAAGAAGAAGAAGAAGCAAAAGCTGGTGTCGTGGCTCAAGCAATAGAGAGCCTGCCTAGCAAGTGTGAGGCCCTGGGTTCAAACTCCAATGCTGCAGACAACGAATTAAGCAAAGATTCCTATGACCTGTGATTTTTACTTGGATAAGAGTGAGGGGCAGGGGAAAAGAACCCTGCCTACAGGAGAGGCCTTCTATGTGGTGTCTAGCTTGTCCTGATGGGAAGAGGCCACAGTTAACACTGGCCTTCCCAGTTCATTCTTCAGTGGCCCTGTGTCTGGGCTCACTGTTGTTCATTAGGGGACCTGAGTGTGCAGGGCTCCAGGGAAAAAGCTTTTATATGAAAAGTTAAACCAGTACTTAATTCTTATCATGATGATCTCATCATGGGTGATTTTTACCTCCCAGGCAGCACCTGGAAATAGTTTCAACATCTAGAAACAGTTTGGTTGCCACCATTTGGGGTGCTACTGGTAGTATCTAGTGAATAGAAGGTAGGGCCCAGGGCTGCTAAATATCCCACAGTGCACTGGAAACCCCATGCTGCCCAGAAGCATCTGGCCTTGAATGCCAGATGTGCGGACGTTGAGGAAGTGCTGTACACAGAACTATACAAGAATAATAGCAAAACATGGGTGAAAATGTTTGCTATATATGTGCCCCAAAGCAAAAGCTTAAAACCTTAAATAGAAATTTTACACAACCAATTGATAAAAGTATAATTGGAATGTGAACAAACGTGCCCAAAGGAAAATAAAGAAAGCTAGTAAGTACACAAAAACTGGATCTTATTAACCATTAAATAAGATCAGATAAGCAAAACTTGTTGTTTTTCACTGATCAGACTGCCTCGGATTTAAAAAAAAATTGGTTAGACTCAGTGTTGTTCACAGTGTGAAGAATCAAGGATTTTATACTTTCAGGGGAAAGGATAAAACAGTGAAAAATGGAAATGGAAACCTGCCATTGGACACCATAATTCTGAAGTCGCAAATTCTTTGGCATTGCAGTTTTCATTTGTAAGAAAACAATTAGACAGGTAGACTAATGTAAAAAGTTGTTCTCTTCAGCATTTCTCAGTGCTTCCCTTCTCTCAGCAGACCTTTGTTGCGAGACTGAGGTCACGTGTGTTTGGTATCATAGGAGGCGGTGACGTTCAAGGACGTAGCTGTGGTCTTCAGCGAGGAGGAGCTGGGGCTGCTGGACGCTGCCCAGAGGAGGCTGTACCGCGACGTGATGCTGGAGAACTTCAGGAGCCTGCTCTCAGTGGGTGAGGACGGGTGCTGTGAACATCAGAACCCTGTGATAGCTCAGTGTTTTTAGATCTACAGGACTTTGGAGAGCTTGAAATGGTTTCCAGTTTTCTGTCATCGCGTAGCTTAATGGCAGAGCACTCACCTAGCATGTGCAAGGCCCTAGCGCTGAAAAAAAAAAATTACCGAACATACAGGTTATGTTGGGGTGTGGCTCAGTGATAGAGGACTTGTCTGGCATGCACAAGGCCTTGGGTTTGATCCTTAGTACTGCCAAAAACAAAAGAAATCATCACGAGATAGAGAGTTGGAATTTTAAAAATCTTTTTCTCCTGGCTAAAGTGTATATGTTGTAAATGAATGACACTGACAGCATGATTGCTTTATGCTTTTGTCCTTTCTCAAACTGTAGCCACCTCCAACTTGTGGGTCCTGGTACACATTCAGTAAGTAGTAAATTAGAAAAGGTTTTTTTTTTTTTTAATAGTGCCCAGGCTGGCCTCGAACTCAAAATCTTCCTGCCTCATCCTTATTGATAACTGATGTGTGCTAGGTGGGCACTCTCCTACTCCAGCCCTTTGTGTTCTGGTTATGTTGGAGATAGGGTCTCACTTTTTGCCCAGGCTGGCCTGGACCACCATCCTCTTATATTACGCTGTAGCTGGGATGACAGGTACCTGCCACTGCCCCCAACTTTTTTCTGTCAAGATAAGGTCTTGCAATCTTTTTTGCCTGAACTGACCTGGAACTGCAGTCCTCCCAATCTTAGCCTCCCATGTAGCTGGGATGGCAGGTGTGCCCCACAGTGCTCATCTATTGGTTGAGATGGGGTCTTGTGAACTTTTTGCTCAGGCTAGCTTTGAACCTTGATGCTCCCGATCTTAGTCCTCCAAGTAGCTAGGATTACAGGTGTGAGCTAGCAGCATCTGGCTTGTATTAATATTTTTTAATGGAATAAAATAGAGTAGCTGTGTGCCGGTGGCTCCTGCCTGTAATCCCAGCTACTCAGGAGGCAGAGATCAAGAGAATCATGGTTCAAAGCCAGCCCAGGCAAATAGTTCAAGAGACGCTATCTCGAAAAAACCCATCACAAAAAAGTGCTGGTGGAGTGGCTCAAGCTGTAGGCCCTGAGTTCAAACCCCAGTACCACAAAAAAAAAAAAATAGTGTAGAAAATATCAAAGCTCTTGGCAATAACTGTATCTTACAGCAAACACTACAGCCTATTGCCAGGAACTGTGTGAGAGACCATGGACAGCGTAAAGTAATTGACATAGTAGACATACTGTCTAGTAACTTATACTAATGTTGGCATATTTTGTGTCTTTTCACAAAATATATTTCCTCAATTGAGTCATGATTAAAAGTTTAGAAAACACTAGTTTTGGTGTTCCAAGATGATAGGCAATGAGTGTGACAACTTTTCATGCTTTTGGCCTATGATATATTGGTTTAAATCTTTATGGTTGTCTCTTCACAGGACATCAGTTCATCACTCCAGATGCTTTGCACCCCTTAGAGAGAGAAGAAAAGCTTTGGATGATGAAGATGGTAACCCAGGGCTGTGGCTCCTCAGGTGAGAACCTTGTGGTTGGAGTCTGTCCTGCTTCTCAGCGGCCTGCAGTCTGCAGATGACTGTGGCTGTCTGTACTTCTCTGCTCTCCCATCCTGCTCTCTTGTCATCGAAAGATGACAAGACTTTACTCTAAATTTCCAATGCCTTCTTGGTTTGTTGTTGTTATTTTGTTTCGTTTTTGAGACAGGATCTCATTATGTAGCCCAGGCTGGCCTCAAACTTGCCACCCTCCTGCCTCAGCCTCCTAAATGCTGGGATTGCAGGTGTGCACCACCACCACAACTGGCTCCAGTGCCTTCTTAGTTGAGTAAAACCCAGGTATTAAAGTGGCTTCTAATGTCCCACGTGTCGCTCCTCCTTCATCCCATCACTCTGTGACTCTCTCCTTGTCAGTCAGGTCCATCCACACTGGCCTCTTGCTTGGTGAAGCGTGCTCCGGCCTCACTGCCTGCTATAGGAGCTGCTTTCTGTCAGGAGTGGCCGTGCTCTCTGTCATCCTCTTGGCCCCTCCCCTACTTCATTTAGGTCCTTTCTCACATGTGACACCATTAGAAAGGACTCCCATAAGCACCCTATTAATTGTATGTTCTTCTTCCTTCACTTCCCTTTTCTTTATCCTGTTTAATATTTACACATAATTTTTGTTTACCTAATATATCTCACTAAATTCTCACTGGAACGTGCTCTCAGGAGAAGAGATTTTGTCTGCTTTATTTGTTGCTTTCTCCTCAGTGAATATACAGATCTGGCAGTGGGCAGGTGTGTTGTAAATGTGAATGAATGAGTGAGTAAATAATTGTTACATGAACTTTTCAGTAGTTGTGGAAATACTTAGAGGCTGATAAATAAAAATGTATGATGAAAGCATAGTCTAGGACCTTTCCTTCCTGTTTACTGTCTGATTCTAATTCAGTAGTGCTTTTAGTTTCAGATAGGTATGCCTTAATATCCATAGTCTGTTGGAGCTACTGTAACAGAATATCATAGACTGAGTTGTCCTGTAAACAGAAAAACTTATTTCTTGCAGTTCTGGAAGCTGGGAAGTCCATGTTCAGGGTGCTAGCAAAATTTGATGTCTGTTGAGGGCCTGCTTTCTGGTTTACAGATGACACCTTCCTGCTATGTCTTCCCTAGTGGAAGGGGCAAGGGCTCTCTCTCAAGCCTCTTTTATATGGCACCAGTCCCATTCCTGAGGGCTCTGCCATCGTGACCTGATTGCCTCCCTGATACCATCACCTTGAGGCTCAGGAGTTCAACATAAGAATTTTGGAGGAATGCACATTCAGTTCATAATCCACATCTAGTGAAAGCTTGGCTTTGCAGCTGTAACTAAACTGAGTATCATTTTCCCCTTGTGGCTTTCCTGTAAAGTAGTGACTCGTACTCACTTGGTGAAAAAGTGTTTTATGTTATGTTTTGTTTGCAGTGCTGGTGATGGAACCCAGGGCCATCATCAGTGGTAGGCAAGAGCTCTACCACTGAGCTACATTGCTACTTTTAAGAACACAGATTCTGGGCTAGAGGTGTGGTTCAAGTGGTAGAGCACCTACCTAAAAGCACCCTGGATTCAAACCCCAGAATGCAAAAAAAAAAAAGAAAGAAGATTCTAATAGCCACTTTTTTGTTGTTGTTTTTAGGAGGTTCCCTGAAAGAGAGTATCTATCCTTTACATATGCAAAGAGAAATTTTCAGAAAACAATGAGCTTTCAAGTTAGTCTTTTCTTACACAGGTTTTCCTGTGGCAGCCATCCCTCTTCCAAAGAGACTCACAGAGAAGACTATATTACCTGCTATTCTAGTCGTCCCTATTCAAAACATCGTATGTGTGCCCTTGCCTTTATTATCTACAAAAACAGCACAGACAAGTGAATGTTATAGAAGATAGAGAGCCATTAAATAAGATGTTAAGGAAAGTGAGTTTAGACAGTTTACATTCCGATAAGGGCCTAATTAATATCATTTTCAGTGGGAAAATTATAGCCTGGGTGGAAAGAGGAAATTGCCTTTTTCACCATTTACAAATCTTAGCTGGGTGTTGGTAGCACGCCTATAATCATTGCCATTCAGGAGGCAGAGATCAGGAGGATCATAATTTGAAGCCAGGGGCAGTTAGTTCATAAGACCCTATCCTGAAAATACCCAACACAAAAAAAGGGCTGGTGGAGTGGCTCAAGTGGTAGAGTGCCTGCCTAACAAGTGTGAGACCCTGAGTTCAAATCCTAGTACCACCAAAAAAAGTGACACATCTTCAAGTACACAAAACAGTTACATTTAGAAGTAATACTTGCAAGATATATACACAAGTGACAAACTATATAATCATGAACTTTAGGGAAACAAACTTTTTTCCAAGAGTATGTCATTACTTCATAACTTTCCATGTGAAGAACTGATTAAGGAATTGATACTTAACAGCTGAGGCCGGTGGCTTTCAAACTTCTTTGAGTATGTGTCTACTAAGAAATACATCTTACGGCTGGAGATGTAGCTCAGGCTTAGCATGCATAAGGCTCTGGATTCAGTCCCCAGCATTGCAAAAACAAAACAAAAATTAAACAAAAAATCCTATGTCGTAAACAACACGGACATTTGTACATGTGAATATGTGTGCGTATAGCCTTAACAGACATTTGTGCAGAGATACCTTTACTGCTTAGAGCAGTAATTATATTTTTCTATCTTGTCAACACTATTAAAGTTATTTTAAGTCTAGTGAGTCCTAGCCTTCAATTTGAAGAGTACCCCCCCTGTAAGTAGCTGGGATTACAGGTGTGTTCTACCATACCTGGCTTGGTTTTGAGATTAAGTCTCACTAAAGTTTTGCCGGGTTAACCTTGAACCAAGATCCTCCCCAAAAGAATTGACCCTACTTGAAAAATAATTAAAGAAAAAGGGACGGAGTGAGCGGGAGGAGGCGTGGCTCAAGTGGTAGAGCATTTGCCTAACAAGCATGAGGCCCTGAGTTCATACCTCAGTACCCCCAAAAAATAAGCATAGTGTTTCATGTTTTTCCCTTGGGGATTATAGAGACTTTAATTGCCACCAGGTATTAGAGTAACATCTGTTATTCCTGCAATTTTCTCATGGAAGATATTTTCCAGCAGGAGGTGAAGCACCACTATCTGCTTAACACTCTGAACTTGAGGCACTTAAGTGACAAGGTATTTTGTGCCAAGTCGGGTATTTCTAATCAGGCCATCGTCCTAAAGGCTCCTAACACACAGAGGAAACTTCCAACGAAATAACCCAAGGCAAAGATTTTCAGCATTGTCTAAGGATATCCAAATGCTAGACTAGCTGCTGGGATTTTACTAGAGAAGGGCCAGTTTGTTCAACTCTCTGTGCAGTAGGCAGAATTACATGCACACTGTTGGCTTTGACCAGACACCTGCAGCAGTGAAAGAAGGCAATCTTAGTAAAGATTTCCATAGAAGTTAGCTTCCCCTCCCTCCTCCTGTCCTTTCCTCCCTCCTTTCCCTCCCTTCCTTCCAGTTTATTTTGAAGATCATTTTAAAAATAATATTAAAGACAGTCTGAGAAAAAACTGCACATAATACACTCATTAGATAAGTATGATGATTAAATGAGAGTAAGGGAAAAATGCTTTCTTCTGCACCTCCAGAAATCAGCTCTGTTGTACTTAAGGTTCTTGTGCTTCTGAAAGGGCATGTGGGGGGAATCATAGGATTAAAACTGCCTCTTAATCATGTAAGTTTATAGCAGTAACCACATTTTCTGTCTTTCCCAATAAGGTTCCATCTTCAAATTCTACCATGATTTTTTTAAAAAGATGCTAGAAATTCAGTGGGATTTGCTGGCTTTTCCTTTACAAGCACAATTCCCTGTAATAAGACAGGTACAACTGTCTGAGCCAGGTAAGCATGAGTCAGCAAAGATTGTAGGTCCACTTTCTATCTTAGTATTTTTCTTGTTCTGCAGTCACCAAACTTTTAACTTATAGATGAAACTTAGAAAGACTCTAAGTAGGTCTCATGAATGTGTAGTGAATGAGGGCCTGGTGGATGGCTCCTGGATTCCTAGTCAGAAAACATGGTACCTGATGATGGTACCTGGTTGGCTGTGGGTCCAAGTATGTAACTGACATCTCTGAGTCAAAACATCCACATGCCCCGTCTCTGAATTCCCTTTATCCTTTTAGGAGACAAGCATCTAAAGGAGCTGGAGACTCTTCAAGAAGTAGGATTAAGGCACCTGCCCCATGAAGACCTTTTCTGCTCACATGTCTGGCAACAGGTTACAAAGGAGTTAACCAGGTATCAAGATTCCCTGGTAAATATTCAAGGAACTGGCTGTCTCCTGAAGAAACAAGATGGCGCACCTTGTGAGAATGAGGACGTCAGTAAACATTTTCATCAGAACTCATGTCTTCAAGTTCACCACAGAGTCCATGATGGCAGAAAACCTTACCAGAGGGAGGCATGTGAGAAAGGTTCCATCTGGGATTCTCATCTTCCAGTTAACCAGAAAACCCAGGCAGGAGAGAAGCCGTACAAATGTGAGGAATGTGGCAACAGCTTCCGTCGGTTTTCAAGTCTTCAAGCCCATCAGGGGGTGCACAGCAGAGAGAAGTCACACAAATCCGATGCACCGTGTAAGGGTTTCAGTCAAAGGTCACAGTTTGGTCATCAGAGAGTCCCTGTTGGAGAGAATCCACACAAATATAAGTGTGAGAGGAGTATCAGGAAAAACTCACATTGTCAAGCGCCTCTGGTGAGCCCCCCAGGAACCAAACCCTATAAATGTGAGGAGTGTGGGGTGGGCTTCAGTCAGAGCTCCTACCTGCAAGTGCATCAGAGAGCCCACACTGGAAAGAAGCCTTATAAATGTGAAGAGTGTGGGAAGGGCTTCACTTGGCGCTCACGATTACAGGCTCACCAGCGGATCCACACTGGAGAGAAGCCATACAAGTGTGATGCGTGTGGCAAGGGCTTTAGTTACAGCTCACACCTTAACATTCATTGCAGAATCCACACAGGAGAGAAGCCCTATAAATGTGAGGAGTGTGGGAAGGGCTTCAGTGTGGGCTCACACCTGCAAGCCCATCAGATAAGCCACACCGGAGAGAAGCCATACAAATGTGAGGAGTGTGGGAAAGGCTTCTGTCGGGCCTCAAATCTTCTGGACCATCAGAGAGGCCACACTGGAGAGAAGCCTTATCAGTGTGATGCTTGTGGGAAGGGCTTCAGTCGAAGCTCAGACTTTAATATTCATTTCAGAGTCCACACAGGAGAGAAACCCTATAAATGTGAGGAGTGTGGGAAAGGCTTCAGTCAGGCCTCAAATCTTCTGGCCCATCAGAGAGGCCACACTGGAGAGAAGCCCTACAAATGCATTACATGTGGGAAGGGGTTCAGTCGGAGTTCAGATCTTAACGTCCATTGTAGAATCCATACAGGAGAGAAGCCCTACAAATGTGAGAAGTGTGGTAAGGCCTTCAGTCAGTTCTCAAGCCTTCAGGTGCATCAGAGAGTCCACACTGGGGAGAAACCGTATCAGTGTGCAGAGTGTGGGAAGGGCTTCAGTGTCGGCTCGCAGCTGCAGGCCCATCAGAGGTGCCACACTGGGGAGAAGCCATACCAATGTGAGGAGTGTGGGAAGGGCTTCTGTCGGGCCTCAAACTTTCTGGCTCATCGTGGAGTCCACACAGGAGAAAAGCCATACCGATGTGATACATGTGGAAAGCGCTTCCGGCAGAGGTCCTACCTTCAAGCCCACCAGAGGGTCCACACTGGAGAGAAACCATACAAATGTGAGGAGTGCGGGAAGGTCTTCAGCTGGAGCTCATACTTGCAAGCCCACCAGAGGGTCCACACTGGAGAGAAACCATACAAATGTGAGGAGTGTGGGAAGGGCTTCAGCTGGAGCTCAAGTCTCATAATTCATCAGCGAATCCATGCTGATGATGAGGGTGACAAGGACTTCCCTTCATCAGACAATTCATGCAGGAAATAAGCACTGTAACATTTTATGTTTTGATATCTGTAATGGATGCTGAAATATTCTAATTATCAGAGCTATCACAGGAGACAAAATTTTGTTTTATAAAAAGGATGGTATTACAACTACAGCTGGACATGGTACACTGTTTGGGGGGTCACACTACACAGCAGCTTTGTAACGGTGGAGCTGCCCAGCACTAGTGTCTCATGCCTATAATCCTAGCTGCTTGGGAGGCTGAGATTGGGAGATTGTTCAAGACCAGCCCAGGCAAATAGTTGGCAAGACCTCATCTCCAAAATAACTAGAGCAAAATTGACTGGAGGTGTGGCGCAAGTGATAGAGAAGCCTTGGGTCCAAACCCCAGTCGAGAGAGAGAAAGAAAGAAAGAGAGAGAGAGACACTCAGGAAGGATGTCTGATCTGGTGTTGGCTAAAATGGCTAAAAGCACTCAGCTGGAAGTGCCATTTGTCCGAGTGGGACATACGTTCCAAGAGGGAAGCGGTTTTACTGATTGTCACATGTACTCTGCCTTTTCAGTGGCTAGCATATTATGCTTTCAGTAATTGTGAAGTGAGTAGAAAGGAGACCAGTCATCTTTGAAATTTGCTATTCAGTTTATCTAAAAGTTTCTGGAAAATCACCCTCAGAAGTGTTCTATAAGGACTGGAGGACATTCAAGTTAAACGCATGGGCTCATTCCCACCTTACGGGTCCTGCAGACTAATACTTATTAAATGGCAGGGTGCAGCTGTTAGTGGGCCCGGAGATGAGTTTAGTGGCTTGTGGCCAGCATTTTTGTACGCTAACAGTACTTCCTTGAGACACAGTTGGTGTATAATAACACATCAGACCTCAAGTCTGTGGCTTCCTGAGTTTTATATACACTTGTATGATCATCACTGAGATCAGTGTATACAGTGCTTCTACTAAACAGGTTCCTTATGCCATGTCCAGCCAGCCCCACCTTCAGTGCCAACAAGTGTTCTGGCTTCCGCACTCAGACTCGTGAGACCGATTCTGGAGCTTCATATAGGGTCTGTGTGTACTTTTTTGGGTGTGAATTCTTGTGATTGTTTCCATAGATCAGAGAAGACATTTGACAATATTCAACATCCATTCGTGTTAAAAATTCCTCAGGGAGTTAAAAAGGTCTCTATGAAATCTTATAAGCTAACATTTCCAAAAAGATTTTTGGGACTGGGTCTCTCTATGTAGTCTCCTCCCTCACAATCCTCTTCCCTCAGCCTCCTTAATGCTAGAACTACAGGTAGTCAACAGAATTTTTAAAGATTAAATAACAACTTATATACAGTACAACTGACTTTAATACATCACTTGAGTTTTGGCAAATGCTTAGGGTCAGGTAACCATACCGCAATCAAGCATGTGACGAGCACCCTGGCCCTGACGTTCCCTTGTTCGCCTGTGTAGCCAGCCCTCCTCCCCATTGCTGCCCACGGCCACTAATGACCTGTTTTCGGTCTGTCTTTTCAAATGGGATAAGTGGAATCCTGCAGTTGGAGCCTGTCCAGTCTAACTTCTTTTACTTGATGTAATGTTCTGTGTTTTGCCCATCTTGTTATATGTATCTGTCAGGCCTTTTATTTATTTTTTTTTTTGCAGTGCTGGGGATGGAACCCAGAACTCCATGGATGTTGTTAAGCAAGCACGCTACCATTGAGCCTCATCCCCACACCTCAGTAATTACTTTTCATTGACAATAATATTCCTTTGTATGGATTTAGCCCATTTGCTTCTCCATTTCCCACTCAAAGAATATTTGGGCTTCCAGATTTGGTGACTATGAAGAAAGCAGTGATAAACATTTACTTACTGTTTGGCACATCAAAATAAGATTTCTTTTGTTTCCATTACTATTTGGAATTGTTGCTGGATTGTATAGTAAGGATGTTTAATTTTACTGAAAATGACAGACTTTTCTTAAGTGGTTGTCCATTTTTCATACCTACCACCCATGCATGAGAGTTCCAGCTCCTTCTCACCAACGCTGGGTGTGTGAGGGCTTTATTTTTGTTTCATTTTTTGCATTTAATGAGGTGATAGTGGCAGGTCATTTCAGTTTTACATTTCCTTAACAACTGTTCCTACCATCTTTACTGTGCTTATTTGCTGTTTATATACATATTTACTTTGATGAATTATGGTACAGTCTTTTCCCTTTTTTAAAAAACTGGGTTGTTTGTTTTCTTAGTTTTGATTTTAAAGATTTTTTTTTTGGTCTGGATGCATATCTGTTGTCAGTCTTGTATTTTGTAAATCTTTTTATCCCATCGTGTGGATTTTTATTTTATTTTTATTGTATTAACAGTGTTTTTCACAGTGGAAGTTGTTAAGTTTTTGATGGAGATCAATTTTTGTCTTCAATGGGCTGTGCTTTCTGGTTTCAGACAGAAAAACTCTGCCTAATCCAGTGTTACAAAGTTTTGTGGTTTTAGGTTTTATATCTAGGATTATGACCATTTGAATTAATATCTGTATAAGCTATGGGGCCATGGTCCCTTTTTAGCATCCAGTTATCCTTCCGACATTGAGTTGCTGTCGCCTTTGTGAAAACCCATGTGAGGTCTTTTTCTGGACTCTCCTTGCACTGATCTGTGTGTGGTCTTCTGCCAAATACCGCACAGCCGAGGCTCTTGAAGCTTTATTATAATGTCTTGAAACCGGATAGCATGAGTCTTCAGCTCCATTCTTTTTTCAACATTAATCTCACTATTTTATTGCCTTCCCATGATCTTTAGAATCAGCTCAGCCTTCTGGTTTTTGAAAGTAAACTCTGGGATTTTTCTTGGGATTGCATTGAATGTATAACTGATTTTGGGAACAGTTGACATCTTAGCAATATTGAATGTTCCAAATCAGGGGGCATGGTGTAATTTGTTTAAGACTCCTGTGGTCTCTTTTATCAGAAATTTATAGTTTTCAGCATATAACCTTGTACACATTTTATTAGATTTATACATAAGTATCTCATGTTTTTTGGTGCTAAATTAAAGGGCACTATTTTCCAAATTCAGTCTCTAGTTCCTTGTTGCTGGTATGCAGAAATACATCTGATTGCTTTACGCTGATGTTATAGTCTCCCCTCCTGCTAAATTTAATAGGCCAAGTAGCTCTTGTGTAGATTGCTTGAGATTTTCTGTGCAGATATCACCTGTGAAAACCAGTTTTTTTTTTCTTTCCCAATTTATGTGCGCATTCCAACAGCTCCACTGTGGTGTGGAGAAGCTCCTCCAAGGTTATGTGTGGGTGTCAAAACCCAGGGCAGTCCTCCTTTGGGGTGATCAAAGAAAAGAAAGGGACAGAGTTTGCTATCCGGGACAAGTCCCAGAACAGAGAGAATGAGTTGTCAGTGTTCAGGCATTTTAAAGAGGAGAGGTTCTGCCAGCAAGAAGTTTAAAGGAGGCAGGCGGCAGCCACGTGCCTTTGTGCGGTGATGGGTGAAACTCGTCAGGACTGTAAAGGATGCCGTGCACATGGGAAGGAGAGGAGGTGTGTGGGCTCTTCATGTTAAGTTAAAGTCCAGGTTTCCTAGAATCTTCACGATTCACCACGGATGTTTGTGTTCGCACAACAATCTCACGAGCTTCCCATAAACTTGGAGTTGAGAGAGACCAAGTTTGCAAAGTTGACCCAATAGGGTGACTTTATTATTGTTTTTTTAAAAACTAAAGGGCGGGGCTGGGTGCCAGTGGCTTACGCCTGTAATCCCAGCTACTCAGGAGGCAGAGGTCAGGAGGATCACGGTTCAAAGCCAGTCCAGGCAAATAGTTTGGGAGACCCTATCTTGAAAAAACCCATCACAAAAAGGGCTGGTGGAGTAGCTCAAGATGTAGGCCCTGAGTTCAAGCCCCAGTGCCTTGAAAGAAAAAAAAAACTAAAGGAACTGTTGCCATTAAAAACCTGGTCACATATTGGTCTTGAGAGAGATGGGAGAGAAGAGGGCCAATACTTTTTGCTTGACAGGCTATGACATAGAGCTGCTTTCTGTGAACAAAAGTTGCCTCTAAGTTCGTTAGAGCTAAGGCGCTGGGCCTTGTGAGTCATGACGCTCAGTCATGGTCAAGGTGTGGTAAGCATTTCTAATGTCTCACGTGACGATTTCATGAGTTTCTCCCCTTGATTCCCTGTCATCCAATGGTGTTCCACAGTTGACTGCTTGGGAACAGAGCAAACCCTTGAATGTCCTGTCTGCATTAATTTGAACAATGGTGGGCCACCAAGATGGCCCATTGGTTAAAAAAAAAACAAGGCATGTAGACTGGGGAGTCCCTCAAAGGTAAATGCAAATTGAGGTTGTGACTTTGGAGAAATGAGGACAGAAAAAGAATCATAATGACCATGTTGGTAACTGAAGTCATCTCAGTTAACACTCAGTTAGGAGCCTTAACTGGAGGTAGTGCACATTGAGATCACAGTTATCTGCTGTGAGGCACCGTTCATCTTAGTAGGCTTAGTTAAACTAAATAGGGCTACTGAAAGAAGAAACAAGAATGAGGACTCCTTTTGTCACTAAATTGTTAAAAATGATTAATTTTTTCAGACCTTTACTGTGACTCTATGTGGCATTTACAGTTTTAATAGGGAGTAGCGTTCCTGGAGACCCATTCTCTATGGCAATATCTAAGGCCATTTGTGAATACAAATTTTTTGACTCCCAACACTTGACATCAAATATGTTTGGGTTTCAACACTACTTTTCCAGCTCTCTGACACCAACTGGGTGTCCAGCAATTTCTTTCATTTCTGACACTAAATCCCTGGAGTTAGCATCAGCTCCCACAGGTTAAGGGCTCAGTCCCACAAGTCTGCCCCCACTTGTTTCTGTCTTATGTCCCAGTCCTCTTCTGACCAGCTGGCCACCTCCTCGGATTCAGTTGTTTTCTAGAATGATTCACAGAACTTGAAGTTAATTTGCTATTGCAAAGCTATTTTTTTTATTTTAATATGTACATTCCTCTTTATGCCAAGCTATTATTAAAGGTAAAACTAAG